CCCCCGTTAATTTTTTTTTTTTTTTTTTTTTTTTTTTTTTCTCTCTTTTTAACTAAGATAGAAATTTGCACTCAAAATTTCAACATTTAAAATAAAAATGTAAATTTACCGCCAGACTAAATCTGCAACCAAATCACCTGTTCTGGTAAGTGCACTTGTTTCCGAGGGTAATGGCTGTGTTCATCTTCTTCGGATCCATAACCACTGAGCACTGTATCCTCCTATAGAACTTGGGCTTAACCAATTTCCCCAAAACATAGGCTCTTGAGCGAACCATGAAGTTGAGGGTCAGCGGCACCGGTTGAATCGGCGCACCATTTGAGCTTCCCAAGCTCGCTCCCCCTCCATACAACGGAATATTCCTTCCTCTGAGCGTTACTATAACGGATCTCTGGCTCATTCTTGCCTGGTAAAATTTCCCCATCTGTAACAAAACAACCCAAAAAGTATATACGGTTGTATTCACAATTTAATACGTGAATTTTATTAATATAATATATTATTATATAAATAAAAAATATAATTATAAAATTTACATATTAAATAATAAATGTATAAAAAATGATAGAAAAAATATTCTAGATAAAGGTGGTGACATGTGTTCGTACGGTTCCAGTGGCTACGGTGAGCTGAGAATAGGAGAGATCTAGTGGTGTAGATGTGACATGGAGACCAAAAAATGTGGCAGTGTTTCGAAAGGTGAGCTTCACTGTGGAATTCATGGACACCATTTCTGTGGCCACACCTGAGAAATCTGCTCCCGCTTGGATCACAAATTGATCAAACACAATGCTCTGCCGACAAAATATTATTGCACTTATTAAGAATTCTTTCAGCAACCCGGATTTTTTTTTTCTGAAATTATACTGATACTTACCTGCTTTTTTATTTGTCTAAATTAGAGAGACACTTACAAAATATTTTTATAATCTGACCAAAAATCTAAATTATTTTGACCTCGTTCGCTTCGTGGATTCAAGTTTTTAATTTGAATTGAAATGTAATATTTTTTGAGAGTTTTTAACTGTAATAGAAAAAGTTAGATGATATATTTTTTGAGAGCTTTTAATTGTAGAAACTTAAAACTGAAAACTCGAATAAGTGAAATGAACAAGGCAAGTTGTTAATATATTTCTTGGGTTATTCTTAGCTCTTTGATAATGTTACTTTTCAACCATTCACGACAAATTATAGCTTTGAGTGTGAAAGAATCACTTAACCTCAATCTTTTAACTACATTAGTATAAATATGTCAAAGTTTTAGACCCTAACTGCTACAGGTTTTTGTCATGTTCCACTATAGATGGGATTTTCATATAATCTAATTTCCAAAAACTCAAAAAGTATTGTCATAAAATATTAATTTGATTAGGTGGGTGTTTTTGTAAAGTAAATAAATCACAAAATGTGGCAATATAAAATGTTTTTATTTTTGGTGATTAAAAAGTGACATCAAGCACAAAAATTTCCAAATGCAATTGAAATTAAAAATTAAAAAGGTTATTCAAAAAAAAAAAAAAAAAAAGAGAGAGTAGTGAGCAGTTACCTTCATAGTGATGGCAGGCTTTTGAGACCTACTTGCACCCCAGAGAATCAACGAAAACACAGAAAACAGCACAAAAAACCCCACAACAAAAGCAAGAAAATACCCACGGCGAGTGTTACCACGCGCGATTCCATCGTCGTCAAGAAGCCCTTCTTCTTCAATGGCGTCAAACCGATCCTTCCACGGCCTCCAACCAGACCCTTTCTGGTTCGACCCACTGCCATTGTTGGTGTGCTTCCGCGACCCGGAGAAGCGCGTCGACGACGAGTCACGGGAATGTGGGCCGAGCGACGAGTTGGAGTGGGAGTGCGGCGGCGAGCCCATTGGGCTCAGCACTGGGCTGGAGTTGAACGAGTTGGTCGTCTTCTCCCCATCGTGGGAGTCCCGTGATGGGCTCTGCACGTAGTAAACGGGCCGCCCGCCACGGCCCGGTGACCGCGACGGCGACGACTGCGATAGGCTGCTCACCTCTGAGTCCGTCTTCGCCAGCACCGACATCTTTTTTTTTTTGGCTTCAACAACCTTAATTTCAGTGAAAGAAGAAGGAGAAAGTGAAGTGAAAGGGAAAGAAGTCTTTTTCTTGTTCTTGTTTTTGTTTTGTTTTTTGGGTGCTAAAAAAGAGGTGGAATCTGTGGAAAGAAGGTCCTGGGATTCAGGGATGGTTCACGTTGGGGTTTATGTATTTGTTTATGGATATAAGTGGTGTGTATTTATGGCGGATAATTATTAAGACAAGGCGGACTTGACAGGTTGCATGGCTACTTGGTGATTTTTTAATGCAATTTCTGTATAAGGTTTATGTTAGGCTTTTAACATTTCTTGTTTCTTGTTTGTTCTCTTTGGGAAGGATGATTAATCAATTGGAGATATTAAATGGCAATTGTTATATATAATAAACACATCTAGAATAAGATCAAGGGAAGTTTCTTGTTATATATAATAAACACATCTAGAATAAGATCAAAGGAAGTTTCTCCTTTCTACTATATAAATTTTAGTCTATAATGGGTTTTTTTCTTCACTAATACACCTTGGATTTATTCGCATATTTGACAACTTGAACCTTACAATTTTAATTTTACTAAAAAGGATAGGACTCATAAATTTAATATTTCGTTGTACTCGTGGTCCAATTACTCAATTGATGCATGAAATTCCTCCTATTTTTACACAAATGCCCTAATTGTTGTCTATTAATTGATGTTCATGATTAATTGAAAACGTTAAATTTAAAGTCCAAATTCAAAAGTTGAGAAATATTGAGTCTAAATTATAAATGACAAATACCCTAAAAGGATATATATGACAAACGATTCAGTGTGCATTAATTCCAATTACTCGTTAAAAAAAAGGAAGATATCATGGACATGCTTAATACACTTATAAGATAATGTCTATAAGCACTTTATCAAAAAAGCGGCAGTTGTACATTTGTCTATAAAATATGTATATTTCTTCTTTAGAATGGAGATATATATTTTACCATAAAAAGAAATGTACATATTTGAAAAAGAAATATACACATTCTAAAGAAGAAATATACGTATTTTATAGACAAATGTACAAGTCCAGTGCCGGACTGGAGACTTTGCCTATATATATATATATATATATATATAGGCAAGGTCTCTGGTCAGACACTTAGAAAATGCCTGACCAGAATGGCACTTGTATATTTTTGTATAAAGTGTGTATATTTACAGTAAGTTGTGTATATTCACACGTAAGTTGTGTATATTTACATGACACTTGTATAATTGTGCAATCGTGTATATTAACATGTAAATCGTGTATATTTACATATAAATCATGTATGTTAAGTTATAAGAAATGACAATGTATATTAATCCTCAAAACATGTTTTTTTTATAGCAATTAGTGAACACATAGCATGAAAATATGTATATTAACTGATTTATTGTATTTCATGTTAAATATACATGACTTTACATGTAAATATACATGATTTACGTATAAATATACACAATTTATACATGATTATACAAGTGCATGACTGGTGTCAGGCACTTTCCAAGTGCCTGACCAGAGATAATTCCTATATATATATAGGCAAGGTCTCTGACAATTAGAAAGTGCCTGACCAGAATGATACTTGTATATTTTTGTATGAAGTGTGTATATTTATAGTAAGTTGTGTATATTTACAGGTAAGTTGTGTATATTTACATGACACTTGTATAATTGTGCAATCGTGTATATTTATATGTAAATCGTATATATTTACATATAAATCATGTATGTTAAGTTATAAGAAACGACAATGTATATTAATCCTCAAAACATATTTTTTTTATAGCAATTAGTGAACACATAGCATGAAAATATGTATATTGACTGATTTGTTATATTTCATGTTAAATATACATGACTTCACATGTAAATATACATCATTTACGTATAAATATACATAATTTATACACGATTATACAAGTGCCTGACTGGTCAGGCACTTTCCAAGTGTCTGACCAGAGACAATTCCTATATATATATATATATATATATCTCACTTATGACCGTGCAATTTGCCTCATTCTCAGTTTACTTTTAAATTTTAAAAACTCTTATTTTGTCTCTTAAATTTAGAATTAGTCTCATTTACGCTCATTTCTTAGGAAGTTCTTTCATGGGCGAGACGAGTTCTCTTGTTTTGAGGTGCCATTGTAAAACGGCAACCTAATCTTCCCAGTGGAGTCGCATTTATATTGGGGCCTGATAGATCTAGTGGGTACAACGTGTATGAGGTATACACGTGCAAGTACTGAATTCCGTGCTGTCAATGTTGATGCGGACGAAACACGCGACATTCACATAAAGACTTTGTATGATAGGACCTCCAACGAAGAAGATGGGATCGGTTAGACCAAAAGTAAGCCGAAGAAATCAAATTCTAGGACTCACTTTGCTCCTAAGTTGTTGAGGCATTCTCGACTATGCGCATGAAAAGATGTTGAACTCAGTCATGGAGATCGCATGGACGAAGTATGGTGGGAGGAGTAACCGAATGGTTGGTGGAGATTTGACTCGGAGAGTTAGATAAGAATGTTTTAGAGGAGGAATGCTCTGAGGACAAGCATGGGTTGCCTCTGGAGTGGATGTCTGAATCATAAAATGCGGATAAGGCTGTTTCAGAAGATGAATGCTCTGAGGACAAGCACGGGTTGCCTCCGGAGCGGCTATTGACTTGTAAAGTACGGATAAGGCTGTTTTTGTAACACCTCGAGAAATTAAACGAGATTAATCAAGGTAATTAAAATTTATTAGTGTGCCTAATATGATCTAATTAATTAATTATGGTTTATTAAATGTTCCTGACGTGTAAATTTAAATAATTTCAAGGTATTTAAATATTTTCAGTATTTATATTTTTAGCCCAGAAGTGTGTGTAGACACATTTTCTGGACTGTTATTTTAAATGTTGGACACCTATCTTTTATTTTTCTTTTCTTCTCCTTTTCTTTGCTTTTACTTTTCCTCCTTTTCCTTTCCTTCCCAAGCACACACACACTCTCTCTCTCACTCTCACTCTCTTTCTCTTCCATTTTTCTCTCAAATCAACTGAATCTTGAACCAAAGAAGGATTTCAAGAAGTTTTCAACGTCAACAGAAGGATTTGAGGTAAGATTTCTAAAAAAAACCTCTCTTGAATCTCAGATTTGTTTATTTGAAAACCTATTTTGGTTCAAAACGGATTTTCATAGATTTTGAGTAAAATCCCTCTAGATTTTGGGGATTTTTAATTCTTTAGATTGTATTTGTCATTTGGAACTTGGATGGGATGATTTCCCTTTGAAATATTTTGAATCGGAACTCCGATTTGTAGGTTTTCAGACTGATTTGGCGAGTTTCCTCACCCTGCTGTTCTCCACCGGTCGACCATGCGGTCGACCGGATTGCACTCCATTAGGTCAACTTGTGCGTTCGACCGAATTGCACACCAACGGTCGACCGGTGGTGTTGCACTACTCTGTCACTGGTCGACCGGTGTACATAGGGTTTGACCTTATTTTGCCTGAAAATGTTGTTTTGACATCGGTTTTCGAGGAGAACCCAAATTAGCCTCATTTGGGGATCTAGAGTGAATGGAATAACATCTTTAATCCATGTTTTAAGATTCAAAACCCTTAGAATGATGATTTGAAACATTACTGGACTTATGAAACTTGAAAATTGATTAAGGGACACTAATAGGAAATCAAAGGATATAATTGAGATTGAAATTGCTTTAGGAATGAGAATTGGATCCTAAAGTGTTGTTTTGTATCAGTGCTAGCTGAGGACTCAGATTGAGGGGCTTTGAGGAAGCGAAAGCCGAAATAGTGCAACGCTAACCAGGTTTGGTACTTGAGAGGTAGAATTTCTTTACCCCTTTCTTGATAGCCTGATTTCAAAAGAGTTTTGGCCTTGCAAACGTTTTAAAGAAAGGGCATGTTTGCGAAAGAAAAGCATTTTGAAAACAATAGCTCGATTTTAGCTATTGGAATTATAATGAACTATTTCAGATAGTTTAATGAATGATTTCTTAAGATAAGAGATCTTGCGAATCGAAAAACTGACTGATGGAAAGTTTATCCTTAGGGGCAGAACCCAAAACCCAGTCCGGGGGTGATAAGGCTTGTGCTTGTGGTTGTGTAAGTAATTTATCATAGTATAAATTACTTGTTGATGCCTGTAATACTGAGATTTTCAGTTATATTTCCTTTTAGAAAAAGGATGTGAGGTTCCGGCTGTTGTGTTGAAACTAAATGTCTTATTTACTTGCTTACTCATTTATTTATTTGTTCATAAAGTTATTTCAAAATACATCCTACTGAGCCTTTCGCTCACGTTTTATCTGTTTTATAAATATTAACCCCTCCCAGCCGACTCTAGGAGTAGTGCGGAGTAGCTGAGTTAGTTGCTACCATCCGATTAAGAGAGGATTGTGTTCTTCATCCTTGTGAGAGAATGTAAGAATTGTAAATTATTTAAACTCTGAACTTTAGATTTCTAGACTGTGGTTGATGTCTGTAATGTTATTTACTGGTTCATGTATGTACAATACTGCATATCCTGTGGGTGAAGCCCTGAACGATATTAGAGGTTCGAGTTTGACCTCTTGTAATTAGAAAGTGGGACAAGCCCCGTAACTTTCTTGTAATTTATTTTTAGCTAAATAATGGGGCTCGTTTAGAGATTTTCTTAATATATTACTTTTGTTTTTCTTAATCACGTTTAACTCCTAATCGAGCCTCCACGTCACTAACCCTGGCTTCGGGGCGCGACAGAGTGGTATCAGAGACTTAGGTTTACAAACCACAGGATTGTACATACATGTGTGACATCAGGAATCCACTAAACAGTCTAGTTTCTTTTCAATTAAATGTCGCGCATCGTAGATCCATTAACCAACCGGCACCACAGAATCAAGAATTCATGGGTGCTATGTATGATGTTTTCCAAGGGATGGCCACTAAAGCTCAGAATGAGCGATCGGCTGAGGATA